GAGCACCTGGTCCAGCTGGCTTGAGTACCTGACACGCGTTACACACTCGGAAAGCCCCTGACGGTGATGAAAAACACAGAAAAGGAAAAATCCTGAAAGTGACCACAGCACAGTTTAGAAGAGCTCTCGCACCAACACCAGTCATCTGCACATCTAATTACCCTAGTGAAGCCTTTAAATGCCACTTTAAGCTGTATAGAAGTGCCTTGAAGAATATATAGACTAATATTATTTACTGTCATCATGGTGAAGAGAACAGAAATCAGTTGTTAGAGATGAGTTATTAACACTATTATGATTGAGATGTGTTCTCTCCATTAAACTGCACTTGGGAAATGTTTGAAAAAGAAAGGCACACTAGTGTACATGCTGAAGGTGTTTGGTGTTTATATGACACAGAAGAGTCAAAAACCTATATACAGCACTTTTAAAAATCACTGATCTTCACAGCCTGATTGATATAGGATGTAAAGTGGGTCTCAGATTGAACAAAAAGCACTGCATTAAATTACATTGGTCTGCATCATGTCTTTAAAATTTTATTTTACTCCAGTATTTTCAATGGAGTTTTAGCGCTCGCTTGCTGCTCCTGATGGCTTTTCATCTCATTTTACATTTGAACAATTAAATAAACGCTTAAGTCTGTTAAACTGATTATATTTTAATTAAATTACAACATCAATGCTGGAAAAGCACTGTTAAAAATGTTAGGTTCCACACAATCGATTTTGTCAATATCAGTGCCCATTTTATTTATATAGCACTATTAAACACAACCAGAGGTTGACCGATGTGCTGCACAGTACACATCACAACAAAGAAAAATATATAATTATAGCTAAAAGTTTTCACTGAAAAAAAGCCAAATCAAAGAGGTAAGTTTTTGTAACTTAAATTAAAAAAGAAGACGAAACAGATCTAATACAGAGAGGCAGAGCATTCCACAACCAAGGACCAGCTACTGCTGAGGCACTGTCACCTCTGCATTTCAGCCTCGACTTAGGAATACATAACAATCTCTGGTCAGAGGACAAATCTAAAAGATTAGTGTTGGGGCAACATAAAATAATTAAGTTAACATTAGTTTTTACAAATTTAAATAGATTGGACATAAAAAAAATCAAGTTGTCCCCCACAAAAATCTACCACAAATGTCATTATTTTGAGTGAGAAACTGTATGAAATTGAAAACAGTCACATTGACCTTTCAGCAGAGGTTTATCAGTAGGGGAAAAAACACTAGCTGTGCCTTAAGGCAGTCATTTTGTCTTCAACTGTAAGACTTCAGAAAGTCTCTCGAACACCAATCGGATCTCTGTGCCCTGTGGCTGGTCTTTTTTCGTCAGCTCCAGCTGGTTGGTGTGTGTTTTTCAGGCGTTACAGCAGGGCGCGGTGCTGGCTCTGGTGGGCAGGGGAATACCAGGCTGTACCCGCTGGGCTCCGGGCCCCTGACGGCCAGCCAGACAACTGTGGTGCACCAGTCAGACTCCGCCGCCACCCTCCCTCATGCTTTTTTTTTTTTTAGCTCTGACGGTTCTAATCAGTTCCAGACGCGTGTGGTGAAGACATAAAATTCACTCTGCTATATATATATATATATATATATATATATATATATATATTATATATTAGGGCTGCACAATATATAAATATCGCAATGTGTGTGTCCGCTAGTCACACCGCATGATATGCAAAGTTAAATTGGGATTATTGTTGATCAACAATTGAGATACATGAGATTTGTGGAGTCAGAGCAACATATAACCATAACAGAGTGAAACGTTATCATTTGCATGTGTTCTAAAGGTAGCATGTAGCATTGACACCTAGTGGTTGAACTAGGTATTGCAATCCAAATTCAAAACATATGAGAGTTTTTTTTAACCTGACCCCTAATCCAATGATGATGCACACACACAGGTTGCCAGATTGAGGACACAAACAGAAGCGTGTCTAACGATTGAGTCTTAAACAATAGCTGGGCAGCTTACAGTGTATGTTTTTAATATTTATTTTATTTGCTAATTCAAAACCAGCTCATGTGTATTTTAATAAGTCAAGCTGCATACGCCTACACTGAACGCCTTCAGGACTGAAATTAAATACACTGTCATCAAGGCAACCCAAGATGCTGAAATATAATTGGTTAAAGAGGCAGTGGGCGGAGTTAGAGATCAAAGCAGAGACAAACATTGCGACAGAACACACATTCTCAAAGCAGAATCACTGACTGCAGCATTGTTGATCAGATACACAAGTGTGTTCATCAGCATGCTTCTCAAATATCTGCACACATATTATGGTGTATTTATGCTTTAGATGAGTCAAAAATGAATACAGAGCACACTTAAATTATGGAAACACGGTAAACTTGACCAGCATACATCCAACAAGCTCAGCACAATCAGCATATGCAACTGTGTCAGTCTCTAAGTCCTCTCTCTTTCTTACACACACACACACTGCATTAAACTCATCCTCTCTGTTGTGCCCCCTGCAGGAGAAAGAGAAGAAGTACATGCTGCAGGTGGACAATCTGAAGTTCAGAGATGTGGAGAAGGGCTTCATGTCCAGCAAACACATCTTTGCCCTCTTCAACACTGAGCAAAGGTCAGAGGTCAAGCAGACAAACACAACCCTTCAGAATGACCACAAAAAAAAAAAAACATATATAGGGAGAACATGGAGCGAATACCTGTAAAACAGGTTAAATGCAAATATATGCAGTTTGATAGAGTTGTTGATAAAACGTAAAAACAAGTTAAATGTCAAAATAAATAGTTTTTATCCTAAATGAAATAAAAAAGTAAAAATTTGATAGAAAAAAGTGTGATATTTGAAAATATTGTAATTATATTTCATATTATTATTAAAGTGTATTATTTAAATGTTAATTTATTAATTGTTATGGTAAATTTGGATTTAAAGTTCGTGAGCTATTCATGACAGTATAGCAGAATATTTACATAAAATTAAATCTTTTACTAATATTTATTTACTATAATATTAAGTATTCATCAGAGCGGTCTAATCTTTTTTTAATGATTTTTTACATTTTAATATGAGTAAGAGTTATGATCAAAGCTCTATAGTTTTAAAACATGCAATTTAATGCAAAATTGAAGATGATTAAGATATGAACAAATAAGAACCCTTTCTCAAAAGCCTGATGATCATATTTGATCCACTGTTAGTGATTTTCTTATATTTTTACAGTACAGTACTGACAGCACAGTTGCCAGTAAAGTTAGATTACAGTAGAGAGTTACTTTAATTCATTTTACAATACATGAACATTTTACTGTACTTTTTCATTTAGTGATTTTAGGTATTTCTGCTCATTTTTACAGTATTAAACTGCATTATACAATGCTGCAAAATATTATAAATGTAATCATTACTAATAACTATAAGGTGACCATAGGATGGTCGATGCAAAGCTTTAATGAAAAGGGAGTGAATGCGGCTGTTTTAATATTCATTTCAACTTGTTTTAAAGCTGAAATAAAGCGAAAGCCGAATTCTCTTGAACAGCTCTTGCAATTATATCACATTTGACATCGGCTCTTGGATGCGACTTTGACTTTTCATAGAAAGACTAAAAATACTGGAAAAATATGGGAAAATAATTAAACTGGATGATAGCGAGATAAAATGGTAAAATATGGGAGAATCCCAGCAAAAAAGGGAAGGTTGACAGGTATGAGTTATATAGCAGCAGAGATATCAGTGCACGGTTTAACAATAACAAAAAAAAATTATTATTGTTGTTATTATTATTATTTTTATCATCATTAAATAAAGCAATGTTGCTATAGTCCTATAAGTTTTCATCATAAAATATTACTAACAATATCAAAATAATTGTTATGTCTTAAAAAATATATATATATCACATGCAATTTTACTTGATAACTTAAATCTAATTAGACAGCAAAAAACATGTACAGTTGAAGTCAGAATTATTAGCCCTCCTGCATTATTAGCCCTACTGAATAAGTTTTTCTAATTTCTGTCTGACTGAGAGATTTTTTTCAACACATTTTTTAACATAATAGTTTTAATAACTCATCTCTAATAACTGATTTATTTCTCTTTGCCATGATGACTAAATAATAATAGACTAGATATTCTTCAAGACACTAGTGTTCAGCTTAAAGTGACATGTAAAGGCTTCACTAGGGTAATTAGGGTAAAGTTAGGGTAATTAGGCAAGTTATTGTATAACAGTGGTTTGTTCTGGAGACAATCCAACACTAATATTGCTGAAGGGGCGAATAATATTGACCTTAAAATTGCTTTAAAACAATTAAAAACTGCTTTTATTCTAGCTGAAATGAAACAAATCAGACTTTCTCCAGAAGAACAAACATTAGAGGAAACACTGTGAGCAATTCCTCAATCTGTTCAACATCATTTGGAAAAAGAAATTCACAGGAGGGCGAATAATTTTGACCTCAACTGTATAAGTTTGTGTGCAACATGTGTGTCAAATATAATGAGTGCTCATGGCGTAAAGGCATGAACGTTCACATCTTCTGCATGTCAGGAACGTGTATAAGGACTACCGTCAACTGGAGCTGGCCTGTGAGAGTCAGGAAGAGGTGGACGGCTGGAAAGCTTCATTCCTGCGTGCTGGAGTTTATCCTGAGCGTGTGGTGGTGTGTGTTCATCTCAGCTTATAATGAATGCTAATGAATGATTATTACATGACTAATGCATCGTATAATGCTGTTGTGTTTCTCTCTTGCTGCTGCTGCTTTCCATTGTGCCACACCAGGAGAAGGAGAAGGTACACACACTCTGAAGAATTTGGATTTATTTATTTATTTATTTATTGTGCATTTGTATTTTTCATGATTGCCAGTTAGGGCTGCATGATAGTGGGAAAAAATACAATATGCAATCTCGTTGTTGAGTATTGCAATCAACCCTTTTCACAGTTTCTCATCAGCAGATGTGGTCATAGTTGCTAAACTTAGAGGGCAGTAAATAGGAAAGTACAACAAATAATTTATTGACAATCCTATGTTCTGAAATTATTAAAGAAAAACTGTTATCAACGCTTTCAGAGAGAGGAAAGCAATAGAGAATGATAACGGCAGACAGAGGACAGAATAAAGTCATATTTACTGACCTGCCCCCCATACACACTGCATTACACACCTCACACAAGAGCTCATGTACTTGGTGTAATTTGATGCAAAGCTGATATAATACACACATAATTAAATACATAAAAATGCTCAATATTTTTAAAAATATAAATATTAAACATTTTTAAGAATTTAAGATGCTGATGAGCATTAAACGCGTCAGAACAGTCTTGTGAAAAGGGTCCATAATGATAGTTCTTGTAATTTCCCTTCGGAAATTTTTAATAGCAATTGTTTGATCATTTGCTTAAGTAAATATGACACTACAGTCTAAACAGGTAATCAATGTTTTTTCTTATAAACAAATCAAATTATTAAATAAATCGAAATATATAAGTCCAAATTATACATTTTTTATAATTCCTTGAAATATTTTATTATATTATTTTTTTTAATATTTTACAAGTGATGTTTAGCAGACAACAGATATTTTCCATATTTTTTATGGGGAAAGTCTGGTTAGTTTTAGTTTGGCTGGAATAAAGGCTTATATATCCTTTTAAAACTGTGTTTTAAAACAGTTGTTTACAATTATTTTTAGATTTTCTACAGAAAAAAAAATGTAAAAGCTGCTGTGGTCAATATTATTATTAATATTATTATATATAACTTTTAGATTGTATACAGAACAAACCACTGTTATCCAATCAATTGCCTAGTTAACCTAATTAAGCCTAATCAATTAATGTCACTTTAAGCTAAATACTAGTTTCTTAAAAAATATCCAGTCATCATGGCAAAGATAAAGAATTTAATTTATTAGTCTATTAGTGTTTCTTTTAACTCTGTTCACCCCTTTGCGCCTCTCCAGCCAATAGCAGAACAACAAATACTGGGGAGGCGGAGCAAATATAGTACAGCCCTATCTGATTGGTCGAATACAGTTGAAATGATTAGTCCTCCTGTGAAATTTTCCAAATGTTCCAAAGTGCTGTTTAATTGAGAAATGAATGGAAAGAACACTTTTGTAAACCGAATATTTTTAGTCATTCTAATTTCTTTGTCTTGATGATGACGGCACATAATATTAGACTAGATATTCCTTAAGACACTAGTATTCAGCTTAAAGTGGCATTTAAAGGCTTAACTAGGGTAATTAGGGTAAAGTTAGGGTAATTAGGCAAGTAATTTTATAACAGGGGTTTGTCCTGGAGACAATTCAAAACTAATATTGCTGAAGGGGCTAATAACATTGTATATTTTATTAAACAATAAAAAACTGCTTTTATTCTAGCTGAAATAAAACAAACCAGACTTTCTCCAGAAGAAAAAATGTTCTAGGAAAAACAGTGAAAAACTCCTGAATCTGTTCTACAGCATTTGGCAAATATTTAAAAACAAACCAAAATTTTACAGAAGGGTGAATAATGTTCCCGTCACACCTTTTTGTAATATTGCACATACTGTTATTGTGATAACAATAATGTTTCGATATATTGTACTGCCCTAATTGCCAGTGTTTGAGCTGCGTGTTATTATATATGTGTGTAGAATGACGCAGGCGAAGAGAACGGTTCCGACGGATTCATGCACTCCATGGACCCTCAGCTGGAGAGGCAGGTGGAGACCATCCGAAACCTGGTGGACTCCTATATGGCCATCGTCAACAAGACCGTACGAGACCTGATACCCAAGACCATCATGCATCTGATGATCAATAATGTAAGCAGCATCAGAGACTGCGTTATTTTTATTTGTTTTTTATTTTGACTAAGTTTACAATTGAAGTTATGCTAAATAAAATGACATAGGAAAAAAAAAGTATTGGACGGATGCAGAAAGGGAGGTGTAGAAAGGCAGTGAAAGCCCAGACAGCAGCAGAAAACTCTCAGTAGTTCTTCAGCAACCCTCTGCCCTTCCTCAGTGTAAATGAAGATCAGCTGCTTCAGTCCAACATCTACATCAGCAGGGGGATGAAGATGAAACCAGGGTGGACATTTCAGCAAGACAATGATCCAAAACACAGCCAAGAAGACTCTCAGATGCTTTTAGAGAAATAAAATCAAGCTGTAGAATGGCCAAGCCCATCACCTGATCCAAATCCAATAGAGAATACAGAATAAAGCTCAGATTTAATAGACGAGACCCACAGTACCATCAAGATTTTGACATTCTGGTGAAGTCTGTGAGAAACTCACACCTGAGCAAAGCATGAGGCTTCATTCTCCACACTTTAAGCTCCAGCACCAAAACCTTTGATAAAAAGTATTGAATAGGTTACAGTAGTTCAGTGCTTTCTCCTTCTGTCATTTCATTGCTATTACAAACAACTCATATTTCAGATTTTATTTGTTTGTATTGTTTGGTTTTTTACCAAAATCCAATTTAACTCCATGTCAGCAGCAATTATTTTATTATAAATCTCTGCTCTTTCAGACAAAGGAGTACATCAACGCGGAGCTGCTGGCTTCACTGTACTCGTGTGGAGATCAGAACACACTGATGGAGGAGTCTGCTGAGCAGGCGCAGCGGCGGGACGAGATGCTCCGCATGTACCACGCTCTCAAAGAGGCGCTCAACATCATTGGGGACATCAGCACCACCACCATCTCCACCTCTCTGCCTCCACCCGTGGACGACTCCTGGCTACAGGTGCAGCGCACTGGCTCTGGAGGAAGGTGCGTTCAGGATGGACAGCGTATTTAAATTTTTAATTATTTGACAGGGACATGCACAACAATACATTGACCTGGTATGCACTGGTTACATAGCTGATCGGCTGATTCCGATTACGTGCTGATAATATCGTGCATCCCTAGACAACTTTGCCAAATCGCACAAACTTTAAATAAATTTAAATATGCCTATATTTTCCTGTCAGGTCTCCGGCCACCAGCCCAACCCCTCAAAGACGGGCTCCACCTCCAGGGCCTCCAGCTCGCCCAGGTTCCCGTGGTTCGGCCCCAGGGCCCCCAGCTGCAGGTGGGCCACCTGTTCCCTCCCGCCCCGGAGCCTCTCCGGACCCCTTCGGCGGACCTCCTCCTACGGTCCCATCCCGTCCTAACCGCGCCCCACCCAGTGTGCCCAGGTGAGACCCAGGAATATTAACAGCAGACTCACTAGTAAACAACACTAATGTGCTCAGGCTAGAGGAATAAATGTAATTTCTGCTGCACTAGCGCCACCTAGTGTTTTTTTTTGTCCAGCCAACAGAAGACAAGCAACTTCTGTCTACATTAAACCAGACACATTTGATCACTTTTTATTTCAAAAGCTCTTTCTGTCTGCACTGGTGTTTCCAAAAGCTTCTCGTCCACATTGAAAAAATCTTCTTTATGAGTATACATATACAGTTTGCTCATAGATATTAGCAATAACTTTATATATGTGGCCATTTATGAACATACATGTGTAGTTTTATGTAATATAGTTGAACATATTATTCAAGTGCAAGGATATTTATTTATTATAGAGCACATTTAAAAGCAGTCACAAGACTGACTAAAGTGCTGTACGTAAGACAAGGTAAAAATAAAAAGACAGAATATAAAAACATAGAAATAAGGCAAGAGAAACGTCAGTAAAAATGTAGCACTGGAAAGGACTATTAAAATAATCTTAGAAAGCCAAGCTGAACAGGTACGTTTTAAGAAGTGATTTAAAAATAGATAATGATGGAGCTATTCTAATCTCAAGGGGCAAGGTTTTCCACAACCGAGGACCCGCTACAGAGAAAGCTCTGTCCCCTCAACGTTTAGCCTGGACTGAGGAACTGAAAGAAGATTCTGATCACCTGACCTGAGACAGGGGTCACCAATCCTGGTCTTGGAGGGCCGGTGTCCCTGCAGGGTTTAGCTCCAACTTACCTCAACACACCCGCCTGTATGTTTCAAGTATACCTAGTAAGACCTTGATTAACTTGTTCAGGTGTGTTCGATTAGGGTTGGAGGTCAAATCTGCATGATACCGGCCCTCCAGGAACAAGTTTGGTGATCCCTGATCTAAGAGATCTCACAGGAGTGTAAAAATGAAGCAGCTCTGAGAGATGGGATGGGGCTAGATTATGGAGGGATTTATAAACCAGTAAAAGCACTTAAAACTCAATTCTGAATTGGACAGGCAGCCAATGAAGGCCTCTTAGAAGCGGGGTAATGTGGTCATATTTTTTTGCGATTACAAACGAATCTAGTAGCAGCAATTTGGACCAACTGATGGCGAAAAACCTGGGATTTTGACATGCCATAGTAAAGTGCAATGCAGTAGTCTAACTGTGATGTAATGAAAGTGTGGACAGCCATCTCTCGAGTGGTGGGATTAAAAAGTGTTTAACTTTAGACAGCAACCATAGTTGATAAAAACTGGAGCCAATAAGCGAACTGATCTGTTCGTCGAGTTTTAATGGCTCATCAAGGATGACACCCAGATTGCGGACATGGGGGGATCTGAAGGCAGATAAGCAGCCCAAATCTAGACAAGAGGCCTGAATGTTTTCAGTAGGGTATAATCGTTGCATTCCTAACGGAAACATAGCTATTGACATCCATAGTAGTAGGAACTAAAATGTTTTCAGTATTATTCAGAATATATTTTTGCAGAAAGAAACTCAAACTGGTTTTAAACGAGTAAATGAAGACATAAGTATCATGTTTGGGTGATCTGCCCCTAATGTGTCTGGCTTGATGTAAACAAGCCTCCATCTGATGTAGCAAGTGGTGCAGAAATAAGCATATACTGTACAGTACAACACTGTACATGAAAGATTAGAAATGCACAGAAACACTAACCTCTGCAGTCTAATAAGAGATTGCATTTGCTCTTAGCCGCGGAGTGTGAGACTGTAATCGGTGGATTAAATGCAGTGGTGTGGGTGAGTTAACCGGTCACCATAGCAACATTTAAATGATAAGCAGTCGCAGTCTTATCATCACTGACAGTTCATTGTTTCTGGTTATCAAAGTGTTCAGATGTCCACAGTCTGCTGTCCTGCTTCTAACACTTATAATCGGTCAAACATCACAGTAGAGCTGGGTGATGTATTTCGCTGGTGATATGCAGTGCTCAGTATAAATGAGTACACCCTCTTTTATACTGAAATTTTCTACAGGATGCTTTACAGTAATATATAAGTGCAAATACACTAGATTAGACAGCACCAAAGACGAAACTGATGAACTAATCTAACAAAAAAAACTAAAGATGTAATCTAATGTAATGTAATGTAAAGAATCATCATTGGGGACATCAGAATAAAAGATCACAGTCGAAAAATGTACACTCCTTAACTAATGTCAGAGACAAATAGTAAATCAAATTTCAATAAACAGGAAAAACCAAGAGAAACTTTTACAAAATATTAAATTTATTTGTAATTATAGTTTTGTTTGAATTTATATGTATTATCTTTCAATCCTAAATATGCTTGGTGAGCAAACTCTTATTTTACTGCATGTAACTGTTGAATAAAACTGTTTTGTTCAAATGCATTAACATATATTGGCTATATTTACTGAGAAATTGATTTATACATTTTTAAATACGGTTATACTCATTTTAGCGGAGCACTGTAAATGTAAACAATACTAGCAAAACTGTCACAATTTTGGTTAAAAAATAAAGGTTTTTTTTGCGGATCGTATAGTGACACTCCCAGGTTAAATCAGGGATACTATTTGGATTAAAAGTTGATTAATTCAATTTATTTGTGCAAATCAGTCGTCTAAATAAATAAAAACAGTCTGATTTAAAATAAAATAATTTATTAAACTAATTAGATTTGTTTTTTAAACATTTTTTTTACAAATGTCTTTTTTTTGACATTGATAATATAATATAATAAAATAAAATAAAATATAATATAAAATAATAAAATATAATATAAAATAATATAATAAAATATAATATAATATAATATAGTACAATATATTATAATATAATATAAAATAATAAAATATAATATATATTTTTTGACTTTTTCCTATGTTTTATTTCATCAAAAATAAAGTAATATCAGTAATATTGTGAAACATATTTTTCCTAAATTAAAACAGATGTTTTTAATGTTTGTTTTTTTCAGAAGTCTGTTCAGCTCAGCAAGCCTGCATTATTTAATCCAAAGTTATATCTTCGCTATTTAAAATAACTTGCTTTTTGAATATATTTTAAAATGTAATTATTTATGTGATTTTTTGGCATCATTACTCCAGTAACATTATCCTTCAGAAATCATTGTGATATTCAGATTTACTTATTTAAGACTATTTATTTAGACTTTAGATCAAATATTCAACATTCTGACAGCTAGTGAGTGTTTTAAAATATATCCCCCCCAACCTTGAACATTTTACAGATGGATATGAATAAGTCAATGTGATTAGATCAATAATTGTACAGTCAAGGTGTAAAGTGACATATAATAGTGAGCAAAGACTGAAAACCCTGCAACCCTGAGAATGAACATCTCTACCTGCTCAAAAACAAAGCATATCAGGAAGAGAAAAACCCAAGGTATTCTTGAGTATTATTTGTTTTGTAAAAAGGAGAAGAGGTTAAAATCTGGATTTTAATGTCTTAATTATATCACCCAGCTCTAATAATAGTCTGAATCTCGTCTCTGAATGTGTCACTGAATGGACGTTTGGTCACATTGGCTCTGCGCAACACACACACACTGCACAACACACACACTCAAAAGATGCTTTACTAACCATACAGATGAGGGTGCGAGGGATTTTTCTGTTCTTTCTTCAGTTTCTTTGTGTTTAACGCTGAAGTCTTCTGTTGTATGTGATTTAATCATTCTAATTCGCTTGCTTCCTTACAGCAACACACACTCACTCATTCATTCACACACACCCTAATGAAGTCCTAAATTTAACACTGCAATCCCTAATAAATGCACTGCAAAAAGTATTTTTCTTACTTCATGACAAGCTAAAAATATGATTTTGTTTTCAGAGTCGATATGAAGCGAGTTTCTTAAAACAAGCAAACTAATCGGCCAATGGAGAATGCTTTCACTTTGATTTAATATTATTTTGCATACTCCATTGGCAGAATACTTTGCTTGGTTTAAGGAAAAACTCACCGCATTTTGACTTATTATTTCTGAAAACAAGACCATATTCTTTGCTTGTCTAGAAAATGCTCATTGATTTAATAATTTTTAGATATTTTGACCAAAAACAAGACAAAAACTGTGTAAGAAAAGCATTTTTTGCAGTATGATTTGTCAACTGAGCTGCAAAACCTCTGATCAAAACAAACACTTCTGAAAAAAATAGTATCATATCTCATTATAAGGCCAGACAGAATCTGCAGTCATTTGTTATTTCTGCGCAGACTTTCATACAAAATCTGGCTACTCATTGCTGATTGGCTGTTAAATGCGTATTGAAGCGTGGAGGTTTTGGACATCAGTCTGTGGTTAGCTTGGACTGGAGATGTGTTCATGTTAGGGCTGCACAATGTATTGAAAAATTATCGTTATTGCAATAATAGCATATGCAATATACAGTTGAAGCCTTGCTAAATTATTAGCCCCCCTGTATATCTTTCCCCAATTTTTGTTTAACACATTTCTAATCATAATAGTTTTAATAACTTATTTCTAATAGCTGATTTATTTTCTCTATGCCATGATGACAGTAGATAATACTAGACTAGATATTCTTCAAGACACTAGTATTCAGCTTAAAGTGACATTTAAAGGCTTCACTAGGTTAGTTAGGGTAAAGTTAGGGTAATTAGGCAAGTCATTGTATAACAGTGGTTTGTTCTGGAGACAATCCAACACTAATATTGCTTAGAGGGCTAATAATATTGACTTTAAATGAGTTTAAAACAATTAAAAACTGCTTTAATTCTAGCCAAAGTAAAACAAATAAGACTTTCTCCAGAAAAAAATTTTTTAGAGGAAATACTGTGAACAATTCCTGAATCTGTTTAACATTTTTTAGGAAATATTTGAAAAAGTAAACAAATTTACAGGAAGGCAAATAGTTCTGACTTTAACTGTGTATTGCAGACATGTGTGATAAATGACATTTACTTCATGCATTGGTTGTTTATCTAAATTTGCCCAATCAGATGGGGTCATACTATCTTAAGCCCCGCCTCACCAGTAGTTACTGTTCTGCTATTGGCTGGAAAGACCCAAAGTTGAACCCAAAGCTGAAAATAAACAAAAAGGAGCAGACGATTCGAGAAGAAAAATGAAAACAGCCAATTACAGTCAGGATATCTGTGGAGGTTTTCACTGATTCAGTGTTTTAAAGACTAAAAGTTTCCAACTTGACACAGTTTTCAAGTGTGAATTAGAATGAATTAGATCTAAAATATATATATATATATATATATATATATATATATATATATATATATATATATATATATATATTATATCAGTTTATTTTGATATCATTAGATAGATAAAAGATTTGGATCTAATAAAAATAGCATTTTTCTAGATAATCATCATTGCAATATTCAACAATTTCGCATATCGAAAATTTTCCCAGTATGGTGCAGCCCTAGTTCATATTTCTGTGTCTCCTCCATGTTAACTTTGTGTGTGTGTGTGTGTTTTGCACATGCTTCTCTTCCTCCTGCCCATGGCTTTTTTTTTTCAACCCTTCCTGCTGATATGGATTATTTTTCACAGAATTACAATCAGTGACCAATGAGGACTAACGCTTCTGGTACGTCTGTGGTTCTCTCGCCATTCCCCATCCCTCTGCATGGCCGACTGTCTCTGAGAGCCTCCGACAGATGATCAATAGTGCAAAACAAAAACTACGTACAAATAAATCACTCGTAAACAAACAGTCAGTGTTTGTGATTGACAAACATAATCAGTCAAAACATTCCCAAAACATAAAGAGTTACCGGTTATTGGTATCTGCCAAATCCATGGAAAATATTTATTTTAACTTCAAAAAAATAACCCTACATAAATGTTAAACAAACATATTCAGATTTAATTGTTGCCTTTTTTAATGTTTCGGTGCATATTTAAACTAGTTTTAAAAAAGACTGATGTCAGATTGTAGCTTAAGTGGAAAACAATAAAAAAGTTAAACAAAACAAAAGTTATGGAAAATTAATTAAAAAAAAAAAAATAAATAAAAATATATATATAAAAATTTTTATATATATATATATATATATATATTTTTATATATATTTTTATTTATATAATTTTTATATATATATTTCATTATATTATGTAAAACATGTATTTTACAAAGCCTTTTTAGACTAAAATGTACAGAAAATCCAAGCTAAATATGTAAACAAATCATATTCCAATTTTGAACTTGATATCTCAAAAAATGAGCCTTCAATAAGATTTAGTTTGGCTGCAGTGCCAATCATGACCACCAGGTGACATTTAGTTTACATAGGTGGCCAAATACTGGCACTGCCTATTTTTATGGACATGAATCATATTTTTTCATACTTTTGATAATATCTGTAAATGTTATTTGAATTTAGCTGCTAAAAACATTTAATAATGTTTACATGTGGATTACTGTAGCAAGGTAATGCTTTACGACGCTGATGAGTATGTTCCAAGTTAATAAATAATCATTGCTCAGTAATATCTATTAAAAACTGATGATGAAACAGCTCAGAATGTCTATTCAAGTGATATAACGTTTGTCATGATTGCTTTATGTTTAGACTACACTATTATAATTTAAATATGTAAACACAAATGCTCCCAGGTGACAGTAAATCTATTTTGATCTATTATTCTTCCAATGTAGAAAGTAAAGTGGAAAATATGTATCAATCAAATCAATCAACACTGTGACAAAAGTCGCTCAGTGCAGAAATCTACCAGATGCAGTGACCTGATGCAAATAAAAACAATAAAATGTAACCCACTAGCCTAACAGGAGTAATTTATATGATATGGTACAAAATAAAGGTGAATTCTGAATGTATGTAGGCATGGGCCGGTATAAGATTCTGACGGTATGAAAACCTCGGATAAAAATGTCACCGTTTCATGATATCACAGTATTGTGATTACTGCTCTAAAATATACTCTTCTTAAATGTTTGAGTAGAAAACTAATATTTTTCCCTTTAAAACACAATATATTTTATTTTAAAAAACATTTTAAATATTCTGGAGCAGTAAACATGTCAGGCTAAATAATGAAAATGAAATTTTGACTCCTGCTATCTTTATTTGTTTAAAAACTGATTTTTAAAACTATTTAAAATGTCATCTTTACTTAAATGATACGGTTTTCCTAAAAAAAAATGTAAATAAAATTTTTAACACATCTTAGGAACGGTATAGCAGAAAGGGCGATGCAGTGGCGCAGTAGGTAGTGCTGTCACCTCACAGCAAGAAGGTTGCTGGTTCGAGCCTCGGCTGGGTCAGTTGGCATTTCTATGTGGAGTTTGCATGTTCTCCCCGTGTCCGTGTGGGTTTTGTCTGGGTGCTCCAGTTTCCCCCACAAGTCCAAAGTACAGGTGAATTGGGCAGGCTAAATTGTCCGCAGTGTATGAGTATGAATGAGTGTAAATGAATGTTTCCCAGTGATGGGTTGTGGCTGGAAGGGCATCCACTGCGTAAAAACATGCTGGATAAGTTGGCGGTTCATTCCACAGTGGTGACCCCAAATTAATAAAGGGACTAAGCCGAAAAGAAAATGAATGAATGAATGATATAGCAGAAAATTTTGATGGTTTTAAAACCTTGAGTTTTCCAAACCGTGGTATACCTTGAAACCAGTTATCATCCCATGCCTAATTGTATGCTTAGGTTGAAATAAACAGCACAAAAGAATAGGGAAATAAATCACCTTGAAAAAGTCCTAAATATTATTAATATTTTAATTATAACCATTATAAAATGATTCTATTGATATTATACAGCAAGTTTTTTTTATAATTATATAAGTTAACAAACTTCAAAGCATATTTTAAGTAGGGGTGGTAAAAAAAACTATTTAAATTGTAAATCGGACTTTTTTAAAACCATATCGCCCAACGCTATTACTAGTGAAATGCTCTTGTGTAACTCTTACCATTCATTCAGACATTCAGCATGTGTGTCTCTGTGAGGGCTCTGGGACAGACGGACAGAATCTCTGAGATGCTGAAATATCCTACAGAATAAATCAAATTAAACTATTTAAATGGTTAGTTCAGCCAAAATGTAATAGTGCCCTATGATTTACTCCTTGTCTTTCTGTAAAAAACATACATATTTAAAACTTTCAAAAACCATTGACTTTTTCGTTGAGCTCGTCTTCTCCTTCTACTTTTTTGATGCATTAGCGCCACCATCTGGACAGAACTGTGTTTTTCTATCCCCTTAGTGTGAAGAGCATGTGCAGTTAAAACAAATGTGCAAGCATCAAAATAACCACTATACAGCATATGTTTCAGGAGTTATATAGCTATATATAGCATCTTAGTCATCTTTTTATTTGCTTTGTTCATTGTAGAATTTTCGTATTATTTTTAGGGAGAACATTTTACCATTGGTCCAGGGACAACAGATGAAAAACAGCCTTTGACTAACTCTGGTGCATTTGCAGCAATCTTAATTAATGTACACTGTTCATGCCAATAAACCAATGAATAAACAAAGCAAAGTGAATAGAAACAGACAAAACACAGCAATGCACTAAAACATTCACCTAAAAAAAGGAGAAGATGATGATGGATGGTGCTTTCTGTAAATTACACTGTTATGAATGTTTTTCTTACCAAAATGCATCGATTCGCTTTAGGATATCTTTAGTTCTCCCTGGAGGGAAAGTGAGACACATTCTTTTGTTTTGACTTCTCTTATATAAAATTGGCAGTCTGCTGCCATTTTAGACCTATAAAAACCCAAGATTATTATTACATATTAAATTTTGAATTTGACTGAAATTCATATGTGGCTCTGTGACATGTTAGTGGCTTCCACTCACATTTATATCTTAAGGGACATGTCAAAATGGTAGTTTCTGTTGTAAATAAGTTAATGAAAATAGTTTTAAAATGTTATAAAAATACCAATACATAAACCATTTCGATAACATTGGCTCGTTTGCTGATTGGCTGGCATGCTGATTGTTTGGTATGCTGATTGGCTCGTATGCTAATTGGCTCATATGCTGATTGGCTATTCTGTGGATGGACAGCAGATCTCAGAACAGATTCTGAATTGAGCAAACATCATGTCAGCTCTCTGAATATGTGCATTGGATTGATTTATGATTTATTTCATTTAATCAAGATCTGAAGTGGCTTTTTCTTTCTGCAGCCATGTTGTCTTATTTTTATTTTAGTTTTACCATCATTATTTATAATCCCTCCAACTAAGAACACAATTAACATCCACTCAAATCCAGCACATGTGACCCTTAGGGTGAAATCGAGCAGCGGGGTCAGAGGTCAAATAATCAGTGTACTTTTGTCCTTGTTGTTTGTCTTTTCATGGCATCTCATTCTGTCATGGCGTGATCGCTGAATGCTTTAAAATAGGTTTGCAAACATGATCCTGAATTGAATCCAAACGTCAATATTGGTAATATTATAAGTATTTTTATTAATTTAATTATTACATTTGTTTTTTGCAATGGATGAATTGTACTTTTTTTAATAATAATATATTATATTAAGTCTTATTAATAATATTAAATACCTATTCCTAGAAATATTTGACAAAACTATGAGATTAAATATCCTGAATGATGATTTCAGCAATTTATTTATAGTTTTAAACTACTACGAATGTAAATTAATCAAGTGCTTTCACATATGAGAGCAGATTCTTTCACATTCAGAGAACATAATCATTGCAAACTTGTGATTGCTGTGTGTGTGTGTCTGCGTGTCTGTTACTCATCCATCTTCTCTCTGTGTTCCCATGGCAGCCGACGACCCCCGGCATCACCTACGCGACCATACTGACCCACAGACTCCTCCCGCTTAGACTATTAGCCCCTCCCACACCCGTGACAGACAACGAGGACAGACACGCCCACCCAGCCAGAGCTCCTCCCCTTCCTTCCTGCTCCTCATCACTAATACACAACATACACACTGATTCAACAACTCTACAACCCTCTGTCACAAGTTTTACATTTATGCTATTAATATTATTATAATTATTTAGCTTAGGCGTCTCAAACTCATATATTCAAGTGTATATAATAGTCAGAAATGAACTACTGATAATAATGTAAAGCATTGTAGGCCAAACTAAAATTTGATGAATGAAATGATGCATTTTAAATGTTTATGAACTCAATCTCTTTGACAGAAGGTTGATGAGTTTTAGATGCCTGTTCGTGATATTCAACAATTAAAATGCCTACTCTTCCTTAAACAATAAGCTTGATACACTTCAAAAAAATGATCTTATTGGTATATTCATCTTAAATCAAGACACATTTACTAGAGAAGCAATTTTATTTGGGCTTGTTTTCTAAAATTTTTAACAATAATTATAAAGTTTACGCTTGAATCAATTAAAAAAATCAGTCAACAAGGTCAGAAAAATAACCATAATTCAACAGAAATCACATTTTTTCTAACCCAATGCCATTTTTATTCAGTTTTAAACCAAAAACTTATTTAATTTCATTAATATCTTCATTACATTGCATCTTAAGTAAATGTACCTTGATGTGAGAATGATTTTCAGAACAAATTTTTTTTTTGCAGTGTAGCAAAGGTCAAACGAATGACGGCAGGGTCTGATGAATGCATTCCTGTCCGATTTCTGTTGCTTTATTTATTTTCTATCATCTCAAGCTTCTTTTGGTTATCCGATGCTTGATCTTCTGCCCTATAAGCGATGCATTATCTCTCCAAAGTGTGTGCTGGAGCTTGACGATAACTGCATCTTCTGAATGTGCTGCTGTGTGTCTGTGTTTCTGTACATTACTATTGGCTCTGTTTTGTTTTTGTTCTGTATGTGCGTCGGCCTGCAGTGGTCCCTGAGCTTACGGGCCAGAAGACGACACCAAATTCCTGAAGGGTAAATAACGCACTCTCTCATAGTCCTACAGTCAACATCATACACAGCCAGACTCTTATGTAGATTAGGAAACTGCTCAGTTCTGTTACAGTCTATAGCAATGTGCATCAATATTAAATAGTGGTTGTTTACATTCTGTACATTTCAATGCAACATGTATACAACATATTATACAAAATATACGGTCCATAAACATATCTAGACGCTTAAGCCACTTGTCTGAATGTCATTACATTAGATATTGAAAATTCTATGAGGAGTGTTTAAATGGGGAGCTCAACTGAATCAAATGAATCATATGCTTCACAAAGTCACTCACTGTTTTCAAACTTACAGCTAGTCCAAGATATCAAATTAAATGATGTAAGAACAGACAAAATATGCCTAAAGACAGCGTTTACAAAGCACTCACAGAGGTTTTCAAAAACAACAAATCATTACATAATATGTAGTGAGTAAAATTCATGTAACTTAGCTTACATTACTTTTAATAATTAGTGTGGTGCTAGTCTTTTTAAATAGATTTGGTTAATCAGATAACAGTCTATTAATGATTAACTTAAAGCGTTTATTAAAACCTAAATTAAAATGACTACTACTAGACACTTATTGACGCTACATACTTATTACTTGAAACTTTACGTTACTGAGTGAAATGTAAACAAGCGTAATGAATCATGCGAATCTGAACCGCTGAATCGACACAAAAGATTCGAAGCTTCGCACAGTCGTGTTTTGAAAGCGTAGATCATTTGCGATGTTAAACTCACCAAAACTTAATAACTAACACACAATAACAGCTCGTATACTGGGTAAATAGTTTAACAGATTGTTATGAGGTAATTTTACTGCGCTGCGGCAGGGAAGGAACGAGTCTTACCTGGTGTCGATTCAACTGTGGCTATTTCTTCACATTAGCTCGACCAGGCAGTTCGCGTGTGCACCATCATCTATTTAAGTTGTTGAATTTCAAGAAATAAAAAGTACAAGTAGAACTTGTGAAACAGAAATCCTCCGAAGGGCGGTAATTAAATCCGACGCGAGAACTGTTAGAAACACGAAATGGCGCGAAATTCAAATGTCAGTGGCGGAGTGATACTACACGCAAGAAAGTAGGACCGAGTTATAGTGTTGAATAAAACCTTCATTCATTAATTTTCCTTCAGCTTAATCCCTTTATTCATCACTGTTCACCACAGCGGAATGAACCATCTAAATAAAACATTTCAGAATAAAAGTTATACTATTTAAAAATGGTTAACCCACTCCTGTTTAACTTAAGCCAGCTTCAGTACACACCAAAATCAGCACACTAAACCTATAAATCAAGGAATAAAATGTGTAAGAATTATATAACAACAAAAATTGAAGTTTCCAAGTAATATTTGACACAAAAAGTTTTTTTTCCAAAGTATATAAATGGGTCTTTTGTATAAAAGAACACACCATTGCTTCTCTGTCAACAAAAACACAGCAACACTCAATCAAAAACACTGAAATTCAGGATGTTTTTTTTAAGTTTAAAAAGAAAACATCTTGAGGAATTTGATTGATTTTTCAATTAATGAATTGACATTTAGACACTTAGCTTTAAGTATGACTTTATACATTCTTAACAATACTGGATTATTTCAATACAATTTTGGGTAAAACATGGACAAAACCAACCACTGGGTTCATTTTTTAATTAAAGAACCAAATATAACCCAATTTTAAGGTTTGTCCATATTGTACACTATTTGGGTCAAATAACACAGCATATTTGCAATGTATGTAAACAAATACTTTGGCAATGATATGACATTTTATTTTGAATTTAATTAAGTGATCTGTAAACTATTATATAAAATTAATGTTTATTATTAATATCCAGTTTTAATCTGGTAAACTGTGCTCATGTAGGCTATAGGTCTGCTGTTAGTAATGCGGGACAGTGTGTTTGTCTTCTCTCCGTGTCACTCGGAGGACAGTTTCTACTTTCTGTCTGCTGTGTTTCTTTGTCTGAATGTTTAATCTTCTTTTCTCTTTTCTGCTTCAGCCAGTCAAACAAAAGCAGCCCTTCTCAGACCCTTCTCTCCACGTGACCCTTATCTGCTCCTCTTCACTTCTTCTTCTTCTGTTTTCCCCACATTGAGTAAAAAAAAAAGCCCAACAGAACCAACATCAACCCAAGCAAAAAGACCAGACGTGATGATTCCTGCATCGTCTGCTGGAGGAGACGACTTTGAGAAATGTGTTAAATTTATCGTGATATCATAACCTTCTAGAAGCTCATTGTGTTAAATTCATGACTTACTCACCTGTTTTAAACCTGTTTTATCCATTTACTTTCTATATAGAACTGGTACTTTGAAGAATATTGGTAACCAAACAGTTTTGGAACCCATTGACTGACAGTGGATTTGAAACTGTTTGACTGAGCTGGGTGGATTACAAATTACATGACAAGATTAACAGTTTATATTACCGACTAATATTGTTGTGTAACTTGTAACCAGTAATTTATTACAGTTCAAAAGCAATCCAAAAGTAGTCAGATTACATTACCATAAATGCGTAATCTAAGAGATTATATTACAGACTAATATTGTCATGTAATTTGTAATTAGTAATTGATCACAGTTCAGAAGTAATCTAAATGTAATCCAAAAGTAGTCGGATTACATTACCATAAATGCGTATTCTAAGAGGTTAAATTACTGACTAATATTGTCATGTAATTTGTAATCAGTAATTGATTACAGTACAAAAGTAATCTAAAAGTAATCCAAAAGTTGTCAGATTACATTAACAAATGTGTAATCCAGAGGATTACATTACCGACTAATATTGTCATGTAATTTGTAATCTGTAATTGATTACAGTTCAAAAGTAATCTAAAAGTAATCCAAAAGTTGTCAGATTACATTACCATGAATGTGTAATCCAGCAGATTCTAATACTAATATTTTCATGTAATTTGTAATCAGTAATTGATCACAGTTTAAAAGTAATCTAAATGTAATCCAAAAGTAGTCAGATTACATAAACAAACGTGTAATCCACAGGATTATATTACCGACTAATATTGTCATGTAATTTGTAATCTGTAATTGATTACAGTTCAAAAGTAATCTAAAAGTAATCCAAAAGTTGTCAGATTACATTACCATGAATGTGTAATCCAGCAGATTATAATACTAATATTTTCATGTAATTTGTAATTAGTAATTGATCACAGTTTAAAAGTAATCTAAATGTAATCCAAAAGTAGTCAGATTACATAAACAAATGTGTAATCCACAAGATTATATTACCGACTAATATTGTCATGTAATTTGTAACCAGTAATTAATTACAGTTCAAAAGTAATCTAAATGTAATCCAAAAGTAGTCAGATTACATTATCACAAATGCGTAATCTAAGAGATTATATTTTTTGGTTACATTTAGATCTAGATTACACATTTATGTAATTTCACTACTATTTGATTACATTTAGATGTCTCTGCTAAAAAATAAACAAAGATTCAATTTGAATTCTCTGCGAATAAAGTAATATACAAATATTAAAAAAAGAAAAAGAGGAGAATTAATGAATCATAAATAACAATATGCCGATGTGTAAATAACATGTAATCATGTAATCCATAAAAGTAACTGTAATCTGATTTCAAGTATTTTAAAAAGTTTACTTTAAGTACAAGTAGTTGATATTTGTAATCAGATTACATGTAATCCATTACCACCCAGCTCTGCTATTTGATTACCAACATTTTTCAAAATATCTTTCTCCAAAGCCATGTACTCCCACACTCCAAAAAAAAGTCTCAATCAGTATATCATCTTTTTTTATTACTGAAATGTTAAGATGTTGTGTAGATTAAAACCAGACAAATGTGATAATATAAAGGCTTTCAGGTACGCATGTTCACCCTTCATAATCAGCAACCATTCTTTCATTTAGTGAAAACTGAATCTTTAGTGAGGCTGGACTGAATTAGAGAGTGCAATATAACCATCGGTCAGACGAATCTACACGCTGACCACACATTCATGCCATTGAAAACATACTAGTGCAGTTTTAGGGTGAACAGACGTTTGTTTGTGTGTGTTTACAAACCTGTTGAATTCATTCAGTTTGAGGATATTTTCCCCCACACACAGGCTGTGTTTGGAATTTAATACTCGCTTACTGTATATACAGTATATATTGTGTACTGCTTACTATATTTGCATGTGAAAGTGCACTGTTCAATGCTATGTAAATGGTAGCGTGCATGTTTGAGCCATGCGTTTGTCTGATCAGGCAAGATGATTAAAAAGCTGCACATTACACGCACATGCATATGCAGAATATTTGCATACTGTATATAATATATACTGCAGAAATAGTAACAGTAGTATGACAGTCTAAACATAGCCACATTTGATTAAAGGTGCTGCAAGCCATTTTAGTTGAAACACATTATTAAAATTTTTTGTAATTAGACAAAAATATGACTGGGGTCCATAAAGAGATGTTATAATGGCAAAAAAACAAAATGGTTTAAAGCATCTTTAAATGCCGCTGATGGACATTTTCCTCTGTGTGGACAAACTGTCTCAATACTGCATCGCAACTACACTGTAAAAACTGACTAGTCACTTTAACTAAAGTAAGTAAACTCATAGCTTTTAAAGCGATTAGTTGACTTTACTTAATAAAGTAAGTAAACCTGTTGCTTTTAAAGTGATTAGTTGACTTTACTTAATAAAGTGAGTAAACCTGTTGTTTTTAAAGTGATTAGTTGAATTTACTTAATAAAGTGAGTAAACCTGTTGCTTTTAAAGCGATTAGTTGACTTTACTTAATAAAGTGAGTAAACCTGTTGTTTTTAAAGTGATTAGTTGAATTTACTTAATAAAGTGAGTAAAGCTGTTGCTTTTAAAGCGATTAGTTGACTTTACTTAATAAAGTGAGTAAACCTGTTGCTTTTAAAGCGATTAGTTGACTTTACTTAATAAAGTGAGTAAACCTGTTGCTTTTAAAGCGATTAGTTGACTTTACTTAATAAAGTGAGTAAACCTGTTGCTTTTACAGCGATTACTTGACTTTACTTAATAAAGTGAGTAAACCTGTTGCTTTTACAGCGATTAGTTGACTTTACTTAATAAAGTGAGTAAACCTGTTGCTTTTAAAGCGATTAGTTGACTTTACTTAATAAAGTGAGTAAACCTGTTGCTTTTAAGCGATTAGTTGACTTTACTTAATAAAGTGAGTAAACCTGTTGCTTTTAAAGCGATTAGTTGACTTTACTTAATAAAGTGAGTAAACCTGTTGCTTTTAAAGCGATTACTTGACTTTACTTAATAAAGTGAGTAAACCTGTTGCTTTTACAGCGATTAGTTGACTTTACTTAATAAAGTGAGTAAACCTGTTGCTTTTAAAGCGATTAGTTGACTTTACTTAATAAAGTGAGTAAACCTGTTGCTTTTAAAGCGATAAGTTGACTTTACTTAATAAAGTGAGTAAACCTGTTGTTTTTAAAGCGATAAGTTGACTTTACTTAATAAAGTGAGTAAACCTGTTGCTTTTAAAGCGATTAGTTGACTTTACTTAATAAAGTGAGTAAACCTGTTGCTTTTACAGCGATTAGTTGACTTTACTTAATAAAGTGAGTAAACCTGTTGTTTTTAAAGCGATAAGTTGACTTTACTTAATAAAGTGAGTAAACCTGTTGCTTTTACAGCGATTAGTTGACTTTACTTAATAAAGTGAGTAAACCTGTTGTTTTTAAAGCGATAAGTTGACTTTACTTAATAAAGTGAGTAAACCTGTTGTTTTTAAAGCGATAAGTTGACTTTACTTAATAAAGTGAGTAAACCTGTTGTTTTTAAAGCGATTAGTTGACTTTACTTAATAAAGTGAGTAAACCTGTTGCTTTTAAAGCGATTAGTTGACTTTACTTAATAAAGTGAGTAAAGCTATTGCTTTTAAAGCGATTAGTTGACTTTACTTAATAAAGTGAGTAAACCTGTTGCTTTTACAGCGATTAGTTGACTTTACTTAATAAAGTGAGTAAACCTGTTGCTTTTAAAGCTATTAGTTGACTTTACTTAATAAAGTGAGTAAAGCTGTTGCTTTAAAAGCTATTAGTTGACTTTACTTAATAAAGTGAGTAAAGCTGTTGCTTTTAAAGCGATTAGTTGACTTTACTTAATAAAGTGAGCAAACCTGTTGCTTTTACAGCGATTAGTTGACTTTACTTAATAAAGTGAGTAAACCTGTTGCTTTTAAAGCGATTAGTTGACTTTACTTAATAAAGTGAGTAAACCTGTTGCTTTTAAAGCTATTAGTTGACTTTACTTAATAAAGTGAGTAAACCTGTTGCTTTTACAGCGATTAGTTGACTTTACTTAATAAAGTGAGTAAACCTGTTGCTTTTAAAGCTATTAGTTGACTTTACTTAATAAAGTGAGTAAAGCTGTTGCTTTTAAAGCGATTAGTTGACTTTACTTAATAAAGTGAGTAAACCTGTTGCTTTTAAAGCGATTAGTTGACTTTACTTAATAAAGTGAGTAAACCTGTTGCTTTTAAAGCGATTAGTTGACTTAACTAAAAAAACATGTTTGTAACTTGGAACTTTATAACTTTACTTACATTAAGTAAAGTCAACTAATCGCCTTAAAAGCAATGGTTTTACTCACTTTATAAAGTTGTACACTGGTCACTTTTGTACAGTGTATGCAAATTGATGTCAAGTGTGTAAATGATGAATTTCATTATGAAGATCAAGATTTAGCAAAAAAAAAAAATGAAATGTACAATATCTCTGCAGGTCTATGCATAGAAATCATTTCAGTTTGTTGTGTTCTGTTGAAAATATGAGCGCAAGCCTCCACATTGGTGGACTGTAATTCTGTTGTTGTTGTAATAATAATAATAATAATGTGTAAAGATAGTAAAGGCCCTGACGCTGTGGCATGAGCAGGTTTGACCTGTGCCGTATCAGTAGTACATTTCTGTCCGTTTCACTTCAGGAATATTTCCCAGAATCCACTCCTCGTCTTAGTAAACGCCTCGTTATTTAAGAGTTCCTGGTTTGTCATGGCCATACTGTATCTTAGGTGTGTGTGTTGCGTATATTTTTGGTGCATTTATGCAAATTGTGCTTCCATTGTCTAGAGGCTAGTGTAGTCCACATGTATGATTATTGAATATTAAATTATTATGGATAAGTGATTTATTTAAGCTTCTGATCATGTGTAAATTGTGTGGAGGAATAACCCGTGTTTGGACAGAAAGCGGAGTGTGTATCGCGTGACTGACTGACTGAAAGTGAGCGTGTGTGTGTGTGTGTCGTGTCCTGCTCGGTGGATGAGTTTGTCTTCATTAAAGTTCAGTGTAACAGTAATATTTTGGTCTGTTTTCTTCTGGTCTTCAGTATTCGGTAACTCTTAGTTAATAAAGGACTTGTTTGAGCAGATTACATGCATCTTAAAAAAATATGGCTAGTACAAAAACATTCCTTAAATTATTTCTACCACATAAAGAAGAAAAATATGAGAAAACAATCATGTTGGAAAATGATGACAAGAAGTGTCGAAATGGAGAATAAGATCAATCAATAGCATAAATAATAATAGTATTAATAATTTAAAGATACAAATTGTAATGTACTAAGCAATAATTATGAGATAAATGTGAGTACCCATATTAGTGAATATAAATGATAGGTATATACATACAAACATAGGTACAGCTGTCCAACTGCTTGTTAACGCAATCAGCCAATCACATGGCAGCAGCTCACTGCATGTAGGCATGTAGACATGGTCAAGACGATCTGCTGCAGTCCAAAGCGAGCATCAGAATGGGGGAGAAAGGGGCTTTAAGAGACTATGAACCTGGCTGGGTTGCTGCTGCCAGACGGGCTGCTCTGAGTATTTCAGAAACTGCTGATCTACTGGGATTTTCACGCACAACCATCTCTAGGGTTTACAGAGAATGCTCCGACAAAGAGGAAATATCCAGTGAGCGGCAGTTCTGTGGGCGCAAATGCCTTGTTGATGAGGCCAGAGGTCAGAGGAGAATGGCCAGACTGGTTCCAGCTGATAGAAAGGCAACAGTAACTCAAATAAACACTCGTTACAACCGAGCTCTGCAGAAGAGCATCTCTGAACACACAACACGTCCAACCTTGAGGCGGATGGGCTACAGCAGCAGAAGAGCACACCGGGTGCCGCTCCTGTCAGCTAAGAACAGGAAACTGAGGCTACAATTCACACAGACTCACCAAAACTGGACAATAGAAGATTGGAGAAACGTTGCTGCTCTGATGAGTCTCCATTTCTGCTGACACATTCAGATGCTCGGGGCAGAATTTGGCCTCAACAACATGAAAGCATGGATCATCCTGCCTTGTATCAGCGGTTCAGGGCAGCTTTGGGATGTGGTGGAACGGGAGATTGGCATCATGGATGTGCAGCCGACAAATCTGCAGCAATTGTGTGATGCTTTAATGTCAATATGGTGCAAAATCTCTGAGGAATATTTCCAGTAGCTTGTTGAATCTCTGACACCAAGGATTAAGGCAGTTCTGAGGGCAAAAAGAGGTAAGTAAGCTGTACCTAATAAAGTGGCCGGTGAGTATATACCATGTATATATACAAAATTGTATAGAAAGTCTGACCTAAACGCATAAATCTGGCTGAGAAATCATGAGTACAGTCAAAATAGACATATTAACAGGCTAATTATGGAATAAACATGTAAATATCAAGCAATAATTATGAGGCTAAAACATTAGCATTATTACCCCTAATACAAACAGGATTAAGACATTCATTCTTTTTTTTTTTTTTTTTTTTTTTGGCTTAGTCCCTTTATTAATCAGGGGTAACCACAGGGGAATGAACCACCAACTTATCCAGAACATGTTCTACACAGCGGATGCTCTTTCAGCTGCAACCCAGTACTGGGAAACATTCATACTCACTCATACATAACAGTCAGTTTAGTTGATCAATTCCCCCCTATAGTGCATGTGTTTGGACTGTAGGGGAAACCGGAGTACCCGGAGGAAACCCACACCAACACGGGGAGAACATGCCCAGCCAGGACTCGAAGCAGCAACCTTCTTGCTGTGAAGCTACAGTGCTACACACTACGCCACTATGCGGCTTAAATTAAGGCATGCCAAGTCATAAATACAACGATGAACAAATTACACATGCATAATGTGCAAATATAACCAAGAAAGAAATATGATGGTGAATTATTCATAAATAAATGCAAATACAAGATTACAAAAACTCCATGACAGCATATTAGATCATGATTACAAAAACAAAAGGCCTTACTTGCAATATTTTTAAAGGTGGTTTAAAGTCACGTCATGTCAAAAAATGCTTTATAAACAAACAAAAGATTTAGGTCATTAGGTCTATTATGCACGCAATTAATAGTAACCCAATGTTGGGTCAAATATGGAGAAACCCCACCACTGGGTTAAAAACTTACATTTAAATTTAAGTGAGAAAATGTACATTATTTTTTTATGTCAGCACAATAGCCAAGTGGTTAGTGCACCGACATACATTTCAGTAGCACGTCAGGGCGTCCCGAGTTCGAACCCCAGCTCAATGATATTTTCCTACTCTAGCTCTCTCTCTCTCTCTCTCTCTCTCTCTCTCCAACTTCGCTTCCGGTCTCATTGCTGTCCTATCTAAATTGGCCAAAAATATATATTTTTAAAAATCTAAATATATTTTATAGCAATTTTTAAACAGAAATTCGACATGGCTAACATGTAAGAAGTGAGACTGCCTCGACCCAACTTCCACTCTAGATGGTGAATTGATGCTCATTTTCGAAAAGGGCTGACATGAGAAACAAGGGAATTCAACAGTTTGTTGTCTCTGCGTTGTTTGAGGTGACTACATCTCGACCAAATGGTACGAGTTGTAGAATAGGGATGGGTGTGGTGCACAGAGAACTAATTCAGCAATGGTGTTAAAACTGCATTAACATCGAAAGATAGAGAGAGAGAACAGCTGAGCCAACAGCCAAGGAGCAACTTCATTAACAACTAAAGGCAAGTCTAAAAGGCAACATCTAAAACACTATAAAGGTTTGAGTCTAAGCATGTTCGGGGATCAATCTGACTCTGGTTGTGTTTTTTGAGACGGCTATGCTGAATAAACATCTTCATTAAGATTTTCTTCGTCATCATTTTTTCTTACAAATAGTTATGATGCATGAATACATTTGAATTCGCAAAATTGTCATTCATAATAATTATTTAATAAAAAAATTTCAATTTTTGTCATAATTTGGACTTTTTTCAGAATATCAATGCACTTCCTAATTAATAATGAATGCATTTGAGTTAAATATGTAAATGTGATAGACTATGATATGCATATACTTCAAATGAAACGCTCTTAAAGGGACAGCACACTTGAAATTAAAAAAAAAAAAATCGTATGTAGAAGATATTTTGAAGAATGTTGACTACCATAGTTTTTGTTTTTCCCATTATGGAAGTCGATGGATATCATAAGAACATTCTTCAAAATAATGATTTAATAAAAAAAAACATTCAAATTTTGTCATAATTTTGACTTTTTTTCAGAATATCAATGCACCTCGTAATCATTAATAAATGCATTTGAGTTAAATATGCAAATGTGATAGATTATGATATGCATATACTTCAAATGAAACGCTCTTAAAGGGACAGTACACTCGAAATTCAAAAAAATCTTATGTTGAAGATATTTTGAAGAATGTTGACTACCATAGTTTTTGTTTTTCTCATTATGGAAGTCGATGGATATCATAACATTTTTCAAAATAATTATTTAATAAAAAACATTCAATTTTTGTCATGATTTACACTTTTTTTTAATCACACACTCTTAAAAATACCAACACTGGGTCAAATATTGACAACCCATCCTTATTTTAAGGGTGTTTAATTAACAAACATCGAATATTTTTATGCAATAATTATTATGAATGACGGTTTAATAAAACATGACGTCTTACTGTGCTGTATGAGGCAGAAATGTCTATCCATGTCTTTTCCTACTGAAACAGTTTCAGGGAAACTGGCAGCACAATCACCTCACAGCAAGACGGTCGCTGGTTCGAGCCTCAGCTGGGTCAGTTGGCGTTTCAGTGTGGAGTTTGCATGTTCTCCCTGTGTTGGCATGGGATGTATGTGTGTGAATGAGAGTGTATGGGTGTTTCCCAGTGATGGGAAGGGCATCCGCTGTGTGAAACATATGCTGGATAAGTTGGCGGTTCATTGCACTGTGGCGACCCCTGATGAATAAAGGGACTAAACTGAAAAGAAAATGAATGAATGAATGAATGAATGAATGAATGAAGAGTTTCAGGAAAACATTGTCATGTCCAGTATATACAGTATCCTCAAACACCACACAGGCTAATCATCCAGGAGAAGACAATAAACTAATTAATAAACAAATCCAATTTTGCTCAATCAGATTTATTTAGGAGGAAAAAAAAATCAAACTAGTCATTATTACTCCTTCATTCGCTGTGATCCAACATCAGTGGAAATTAAAACCCATTAGTGTGTAATCATCATCATCATCATCATCATCCCAAATAAATAAATTCTGCTTTAGTTCAGCTGTATAGTAAGAAAGCACACAAACCTGCCGTCCTCCAGCCTCCCCAGCATCATCCTTCAGTCAATATACAGTATAATACACAGATACACTATTTACACCTCTACATGAACACACTCACACACACACACACGCCTGACTGAAGCCCGCGCACCAAAGAAAGACCAATAACAGATGCCAATGCTAATAAAAGTGCTTTGGAGTACAGCCCAGTGAAATACCGCGGTACTGCAGACCGGATATACAGTATTCTTCAGATGTAAACAATCAACTCTCTTCCAGTCACAAACACTTTCCATGAAGCCAGAGCAGAATATCAATGCACTTCATAATTAATAATGAATGCATTTGGGAAAATATGTAAATGTGATAGACTATGATATGCATATACTTTAAATGAAACGCTCTTAAAGGGACAGTACACTCAAAATTCCAAAAATGTTAAGATATTTTGAAGAATGTTTGACTACCATAGTATTTGTTTTTCCTACTATGGAAGTGGATGAATATCATAATAACATTCTTCAAAATATCTTCTTTTGTGTTCAGCAGAAAAAAGAAATGCATTACAGTCTTTTTTTGGGTGAACTGTCTCTTTAAGCAATGCATTACACTCTTGTAAGCCAAGCATAACTCATCACTTATCATAACAAAAGGGTTTCTTCATAGAAAGTGTTCCTAAAATCACCGATAACCATAATGCGGTGAAGTGTCTGATGTTTAATGGAGATGAACTCAAGCTCTGCTCATGTAAGAGGAATTATACAAACCATTTTCTCTAATATATATATATTTATATACAGCTCGCATTCATTCTCATCATCCAATCACGACGCAGGAAACTCTCAGCTGACGAATACAGGCGTCATAGAGTTCGACACAAACAATAGGCAACATCTGAGGAAGAAAACACAAGGTGCTCGTGTGTCTGCAGGGAGGAACATAACGTCATTACACGTCTCCAAAAATAATAATGCTCAATGAAAACCAGCCTCAGCTCACATTAGACTCGCTTCTAACCTACAATGTGATCCATTAAACACTCAACTCAGCTGATTCAGAACTTTCTCAACACTGCCCTACATGCTTTCAAGCAAACAAACACTTGATCATGAACACTTATCATCGTCCTAGTCCAGAGCTGCTTCATCACGATGCCCTAGTTAGTGTGCCAGTTTATTACGTAACAAATTCATTCAGAGCGAACAAAGAGTTGATTCATACTGGAAGAAATTTGTTGATTCATACCGGAACAAATATTAGATTCAAACAGAAAAAAAGATTTGATCCAGACTGAACAAATATCTGAATCAGACCAAACCAATCATTTGATTCAGTTAAAAAAACAATTGAATTAGGCCAAAGAAAAAATTTGATTCAGACTGAACAAATATTTGATTCAGACAGGAAAAAATACTTGACTCAGACCAAATCAAACATTTGATTCAGACCAAAACAAATCATTTGATTCAGACCAAACCAGACACTTGATTTAGACCAAAACAAACAATTAAATTGGACTGAACAAACAATTGATTCAGACAAAACCAAACATTTGATTCAGACCAAAACAAATATTTGATTCAGAACAAAACAAACAATTGATTCAGACCAAACCAAATATTGGACTCAGACAAAACCAAACATTTGATTCAGACTAAAACAACCAATTGATTCAGACCAAACCAAATATTTGATTCATAAAAAAACAACCAATTGATTTGGACTGAACAAACAATTGATTCAGAACAAACCAAATATTTGATTCAGACAAAACCAAACATTTGATTCAGAATAAACCAAACATTTGATTCAGACCAAACCAAATATTTGATTCAGAACAAAACAAACAATTGATTCAGACCAAACCAAACATTTGATTCAGACTAAAATAACCAATTGATTCAGACCAAACCAAACATTTGATTCAGACTAAAATAACCAATTGATTCAGACCAAACTAAACATTTGATTCAGACCAAACCAAACATTTGCTCCAGACTAAAATAACCAATTGATTCAGACCAAACCAAACATTTGATTCAGACCAAACCAAACAATTGATTCAGACTGAACCAAATATCTGATTTATATCAAACAAACGACTGATTCAGACCATATAGACAATCAATTCAGACTGAACTAGTATTTGATTCAGACTATGCAAGAATATGATTCAAACCAAACAAATATTTGATCCAAATCAAACAAATGAATTGATTTAGACTGAATAAACAAACGTTTCAGACCGAATCAATGAATCTTACCGCTCTGAATCATCACTGATCTGTCAGGAAACTCTGTCTAATGCACTTAAAGTGAACTAATCTGCAAATCAGTCGAGAGCAGCAAGAGCTGGCATCCGTATGAATCGACACACAAACCAAACAGAGCTTCAGAAGTCCAGAATTCCTCTAGAAATCCAGAGAAACTGAGTGAAAACGCACGTCTGTGTCCCTAATAATGCTGGATTCAGACCACCAGGATCTTGACCTCGTCGTGCTCGTCGGGCCGGTAGAAGAACGGGATGCAGGGGTTTTCTCCGAGGAATGGAGCGGGTCTGGATTGAGGATTCTGGATCTCCTGGAGAAGCTGCATGATCTGGCGGGCTGTCCCGTCTTCTTGGGGTCTCAGGGACGGGCTGGAGATTGGGTCAGCTGCAGGCCGTTCTGAACTCTGGGATTGAATCTCTGCTGTGCTGGACTGAGGAGATGAAGACACGTCCATTGCTGTGCTCATGTCCAGAACAGCTGAAGGTAGAAAATAAAATCAACATTACAGGAAAGTCGAGACTTTAACAGGATTTGATGGATCACCACACTACTAGCTATGCTTTCATCCACCTATTTTGTTGCACACTTTTGAATATCACATAACATATGCTTAATGGACACAACAAGATGCACATCGATGGAGAAATGCATGTGCACAACTGATTAGGATAAACGTCTTAATCAATAAAGTTCAGATGATCTAAAAAGTGTTTATGCAGGCAAGAACTATGGCTTTTCTTGACTGAACGTGAATGGTGCTGCTGTACCTGGAGCGTCCACACCGCTGATCTCCATGCGTCTCTCTGCAGGATGGATCTGCTCCGCATTAGAGTTCAGCAGATCCCGGTTTCCCACAGCGCTCATATATCTGCTGTACCACTCGTTACGCTCGCCCACCAGACGCATCACCAGATCCTGCAGCTCCGCCAGCTTCGTCTAAACACAACACACACGACAGAACACACACTGTAAGAGGCTGAATTATCATAGCAGGGCTCGAAATTTGGTCGCATATGCACCCGAAATTTTATCTATGCGACCTCAAAATATATTTGTGCGACTAGTTTTTACTGCAAAATGTTCAGCACATGCGCAGATTCGGCAGACTTTCACGCAGAATGCATCTCTAAGCTCTTTGTCTGCACTTGGAACGGGAAACGCAGCGCTCAGGAATGGTTTAAAACAGTTGTCATGTCAACTTGCTGCAGTAAACAAAGCCAAGTCCGTAATGCTTGCCCCGCCTTCGCGCTCTTCTTATTGGCCCACCACTGCTCAAGCACTGAACACGAATGATTGGTTAATATCAGCTGTCAATCACTCAGCCAATGCCTTCTTGCTTGGGATGACAGAGAGAGCTGCTACTTATATATATATATATATATATATATATATATATTTATATATATATATTATAAATTTTTTTTTTCCTAGTTAGTTTGATTATAGTTAATTTCAAATGCAATAAATATGTTTGTATAAAACTTGTAGTAACGGTGCTTATAATTAGTGGGTGCAACTAAATTTTGGCTGATGCGTCTACATTTTTAGTTAGGAGCACCGGTGGTACCAAGCAAAAAGGTTAATTTCGAGCCCTGCATATGCATTTGTTTATATGACAAAACATGTCTTTTTGACTCAAGAAGGTCCATACTGACTCCAAAGGCAGATACTGATAAGATCAGTCCTGGTGTGTGGACTTTGGGGGTTTTACGATGTGGTCACATGTTGATTGGTCAGTTTGGGCTTTAGTCACATGGTCAAGAAAGATACAAAACAGGTGTAAAACTCTGCTCTGGCCTGTCTTTTCCTGATCTGCTCCTCTCATCCTCTGGAGCAGGGGTCACCAACCTTTTGGAAACTGAGAGCTACTTCTTGGGTACCGATTAATGTGAAGGGCTACCAGTAATTAAACAACACATTTTCTTAATTTACTTTTAATGATTTGTTATTATTAATAATTAATAATATTCTATCTATGTGAAGACATTGATCATGTTAATGATTTCTCACAGTAGTTGTCAACGATTTAACAAGTTAGATAAATATCAATATGCAACACTTCATTTGTCTGAAAGTGTTTTTAAAGTTTTTTTTAATATATAACTTAAAGTAATTTTCAAATTTACACCAATGCAAGTGTGATTTAAAAAGAATACCTATAAAAATATTAGATGCAGCTTACTCATATGTGGTGCTATGGTGAGCTATTTTTAGAACAGGCCAGCGGGCAACTCATGTGAACCTGGCTGGCTACCTGGTGCCCACGGGCACCATGTTGGTGACCCCTGAGTCTATCCTCTCTGACTCTACTGCAATCAGGCTAACTTCTGGGCCTGCTCTCTTCGTCCCTCTCTCTCCCTCTGTGTCTCTCCTTCTACCTCTGGTCACTTAATTTTATATTTAAGCTGGGTACAATTTATATCACATGTTTTATCATTTTATGTTTGATCATTTTATACACTCATTTTGTAATTAATTCAGTTTTAACCACAGCAAGTTATAGTCATTAAATCATCTCATTTTCAAGTATTTGTGAATTAATTTAACATCAACATTTAATTGTTCCATATTGCAATACAATACAATCACATAATATCAGCGCTCTCCCACATTTACAGCAATTAACACTGCACTTATTTACATTTTTGGTCTGAGATTGCAGAACAATGGTTTGACTAGAAATGTACAGTTTTTACCATCATGCTGATCACTTTCTAGTCGCTCAGCAGAACTACAGTTCGAACCGCTGTGGTTAAACCCATTCCTACAACACCAACACTCCTCATATAGGGCTGCACGACTATGAAATCTGGCTGGTACTTTAATGTCATTTACATATACTAATGTACGAAATTTCATAGCATGGGCTTGTTTCAATAAGAATAACCCTAAATAACGAGTAAATAAGCAATATGCACTGATGTCCTGACAGTATATTAAGGGCTTATGTGCTGTGTGATTTCCTATTTTAATTAGTATTGCTTGTGTGCAGCACTTTGGGCAATGCTGTGTTGTAAAAAAAATGTGCTATATAAATAAACTACTGCTATGAAATAATCGCAATTAGGACTATTTTGGAGCCCATACAGAAACTTATTAAATTCAACATAAACTTATAATCCCAGGAATGGCTTTATACTCAAGTGAAAGCACAAGTACTTGAGGAAATGTGTTTGTAACACACATTGTGCACAATGTTCTTAAAATGTGTTGTGAAAAATGTGATGAATCTAAAGCAGGGGTCACCAACCCTGTTCCTGGAGAGCTACCTGCCTGCAGAATTCAGCCCCAACCCTGATCAAACACACCTGAACCAATTAATAGTACCTAAAGCAGCACTTGATAATTACAAACAGGTGTGTTTGGTCAGGGTTGCAACTGAAATGTGCAGGCAGGTAGCTCTCAAGGAACAGGCTTGGTGACCCCTGATCTAAAGAGTGCTTCTGTGTTTGGCTTATGTCTCCCCCTTGTGTCTCTTAAAAAAAACTGCAGCAATCAAAGTCCTCTTGGTTAGATTTAAGAACAGTATTTAGAGAGTAATTTGATCATCTCTTCATACCTTCATCTCCTCCTTGTCTTTGGCCAGCATGTTAATGTACTGCTCCTTTTCAACGTGCTTTTGCTTCATGATGGCTCTCTGGTTCTGATACAGCGCGATGTATTCACCTACACCACAAACAGAAGCACATTCGATAAACAAATGACTGCTCGCAAATGTTTGCATCCGCCTGATGTGTGTGAGTGTCTTCTATGCATATTGATTGTTTCATAAACACACACACACATGCATGTACAGTTGAAGTCGAAATTATTAAACGGCCATTAAATTTGTTTTTCTTTTTCAAATTCTTCCCAAATGATGTTGAACAGATTCAGGAAATGTACACAGTATGTCTGATAATATTTGTTCTTCTGGAGAAAGTCTTATTTGTTTTAGTTCGGCTAGAATAAAAGCAGTTTTTAACTGTTTTAAAACCATTTTAAGGTCAGTATTATTAACCCCTTTAAGCAATATTAGTTTTGGATAGTCTCCAGAACAAACCACTGTTATACAATGACTTGCATAATTACCCTAACTTTACCCTAATAACCCTAGTGAAGCCTTTACATGTCACTGTAAGCTGTATAGAAGTGTCTTATAGAATATCTAGTGTAATAGTATCTGCTGTCATCATGGCAAAAATACAGAGAAAATAAATCAGTTATCAGAGATGAGTTATTAAAACTATTATGATTAAAAATGTGTTAAAGAAATCTGCTCTCCGTTAAACAGAAATTGGAAAAAAAAAACAGTGGGGCTAATAATTCAGGAGAGCTCATAATTCTGACTTCAACTGTGTATAGACTTAAATGTCTTTACATTGAAAATAATATAATATCTTTATTTTTGTAAGCCATGCATGACATACACACACACATACATATATACACGCACGTACACACACACATATATATATATATATATATATATATATATATATATATATATATATATATAAATATATATATATATATATATATATGTATATATGCACGCACGCACACACGCACGCACGCACACACACACACACACACTGTATATACAAAATAAATTATATTTAAATATAAGCATGTATGTAAATATTTTAGTTTTGTATATTTTTGTATTCTATGTACATGTGTGCACTTATATACGCAGTCGAACGCAAAATTCACAATTTTCTTCTTTTAAAAATATTTCCCAAGTGATCTTTAACAAAGTAAGGAAACTATTGACAGTGCTTCATATAATATTTTTGCAGTTTCTGGAGGAAGTATTTCCTTTAGTATGGATGGAATAAAAAATATATAACATTTCAAAAATGTAAAAACTTCAACACTAAACATTTATAATACTATATGTTTAAATAACAATGACTAATTAGCAAATTAAGTCAAGAAATGCCACATTTTGATTAGACTGTCTACAGAACAATCCAATGCCTTGCATAATTAACCTAGTTAAGCCTTTAAATTACACTTTAAGCTGAATAGCAGTATCTTGCAAAATATATATGTATATGTACAGACGTTTACATTATATAGAGGTGCTTATTCAATCACCAGCCACTTTATTAGGTACACCTCTCCGACTGCTTGTTAATGCAAATTTCTAATCAGCCAATCACATGGCAGCAACATTTAGGGATGCAGACATGGTCAAGACGATCTGCTGCAGTTCATAAAGCATGAACTATCTCAGACTGGTTTCTTGAACATGACGATGAGTTCACTGTACTTAAATGGCCTCCACAGTCACCAGAGCTCAATCCAATAGAGCAGCTTTGGGATGTGGTGGAACGGGAGATTGGCATCATGGATGTGCAGCCGACAAATCTGCAGCAACTGTGTGATGCTATCATGTCAATATGGAGCAAAATCTCTGAGGAATATTTCCAGTAGCTTGTTGAATCTCTGCCATGAAGGATTGAGGCAGATCTGAAGGCAAAAGGGATCCAACCTGCTACAAGTAAGGTGTGCCTAATAAAGTGGCCGGTAAGTGTATATGGTTATATTTGTTTTTAATATTCGTTTTGTGTTTATTTTGCTTTCTGTATTTGCTTATATCCGTTTCCCTATTCGAGTATCTAACCCTGACATTGTTTTCAATATCTAATATTCCATATTTGCTTCTGCTTGCGAAGCACTTTGAGTGGCATTTTATGCAAGTGCTATTCAAATAAAAATGCATTATCATTATTAATAATAATAATAATAATAATAATAATAATGATATTGAAAAGTGCAAGATCTCTAAAGCAGCACTCATGTTATGTCCTGCTGTTGTGATGTGCATCAGCGTCTCACCGATAGTGTCAGTTTCTCCGGAGAGCTGAATGCAGCGGTGCTCCAGCTCCTCCAGACGCTCCTTCAGATCTGCTTTCTCCTGCATCAGTTTAGTGAATCTCTCCTGCAGCTTCTCCATCGCCACTCGCAGAGCCTCGTGCACCTCCACCGGGACGCCCTCGGAGCCGTCTGCACAGGGAAATCAGCTAATAAATCCATGCATTTACTAAAACAGCTGCAACATTTGACATGTAGAGAAGTTTTTGTAACCGATTTACTACTACTGTTGCAACAAAAGTCAAACAGTTCATTAACATTAATTGAAATGCATTCACTAAAACAACTAAACTCGCGACATTTGACAGGTGGAGAGGTTTACTGAACTTGTTTACCAACACTTTTTCTTTGCTCCGTTGCAGATTCTCCAGAAAAATGCAAAGTATAGTTGAGTAATAATAATAATTTAGCAGCAAGTTGAGCGCTATTGTCATTCCAGGACATGTGTGGATAAACTGGAATGAAACGTGGTTGAATATGCACCTGTCTCTGCACACGTGCTGTGAGGTTCGTGATGATGATGATGATGGTGATCGTGGCTCAGGGCCGTCAGCTGCTGCCGGGTGTCTTGATGAATTCTCCTCTCCTCCTCCAACCGGCGGCTCATTTCATCTCGCTCCGCCTCCACACGCGACAACACAGAGTGGATAAACTCCTTCTGCAGCCATCAGAGAAAGAGGAGGAAGAGTTTACCTAATAACTGCTGATGAGCAGGTTTTTACAGCTCCATATCACTCCGCTGAATGATTAGAGTTATTTCACAGCTACAACAGTCAGAAATCACAGCAGAACACAACAGAAGGCTTTAGAGGAGATGTGGAGGACACTAGTGCTACACACAGGAGACGCTTGAAGAGGACAAACACCTGACTAATACACTCTCAACATACAACATCTCAACAGTGGATATACAGCAGTGCTGGAGAGCAATAATGCAAAGCGGACCGATAAATCATTGGAAAATGATGCCCACAATCAATTATTCCTTAATGAATAAAACCACTCAAACAGATTTAATGGTATCAGCAGAAGAGAAGTCCTTTTAGAGGTCAATTATGTCTTTTTCCTTTGAAACCTTTATTATTAAATGATATATTATTTGACTTAAAATAAATCCATTATATTATATTGAATAAATATTAATAATAATTATTATTATTATTTAATGAATGCTAAAAACACTGCTATTTTTAACTATAAAAGCATTAACTAAGCCACTCTAAATATGGAAGGTAATTAATATTAATTCATGTTTAATTTGTTTGGGAATAATACAACACAAATACATTAAACTGAACTAACAGACATCCATGCATTTACCATAATGCATGTAGTAGAAATTACAAAAATAAAAACTACAAGTGATAATAATTACAAGTGATGATAATAATAATAATGATACCAATAATAATACTAATAATAATACCAATAACACCAATAATAATACTAATTATAATACCAATAACACCAATAATAATAATAATAATAATACCAATAACACCAATAATAATAATAATAATAATAATAATAATACCAATACTAATAATATTAATACCAATAATAATGATAATAATAATAATAATAATAATAATAATAATAATAATAATAATAATAATACCAATAACACCAATAATAATAATATTAATACCAATAATAATAATAATAATAATAATAATAATAATAGTTAATAATAATAATAATACCAATAATAATAATAATAATAATAACAATAATAATAAAAAATAATACCAATAACAACAATAATAATAACAATAATAACAATAATAATTATTATTTTTATTTTTTATTATTATTATTATTATTTAATGAGTGATTAAAACACTGCCATTTATAACTATAATAGTATTAATAATTAATGTTTTATTTGTTTGGGACAGATACAATAAAAATGGATTAAACTGAAATAACAGCCCCCCCCCCATGCATGTATCATAATGCTTGGCTTGTAGCATATATAATTACAAAAATAAAAACAAGTGGTACACAAATTTATAAAACAAGTTCACTAGACATGACTACAAGTTTGATAATCTATCAACAAATGTATAGAGTTTTTTAATGATTATAATTCACACTGTATTTTATTTATTCTGTAAATGCAGATATATTAGCAGAAAATTAGTCATTTTTTAGAGGTGTATTCCCTCTCTTCTGCTCTTTCTTCTTTTCCGAACTCACAGAAAGTGACTATAAATCAATTGGCTGCCAAATCTACCAAATGTTACACAATTCGGTCTGTTTCGGTCTGTTTTGCTCGTGTTAATGAACTCACCATCTCTTCTCTGCTCTCAAAGTCTTCAGGTATGGCAATCTGTGATTTCTGGAAGCTCTCAGGGAGTGTCTGACTCTCCAGCCCATCACCTGAACACATCAGCAGGGGGAAAATCAGTGCAAAATAGGCATGGGACGATAACCAGCCGCAAAAAAATTCTGTTATATCAGCGGAAAAGCTAAATCACTCTACATCAAGAGCTGCTGGTCAGCCCATGATTCAGTAAACATCTGTAAGACAAATCTCCAATAAACCATCATCCAGCATGCTGTAGAGCTGAACAGTGCTGTGACTTTACTTTATTTCCACAGAACAGTAAGATCTCCAAAGACGCCTGTTCAAGATGTACAGAAATCTGTGTTTCTGAAGCTAATGAAGACAGCAGAAGTCAATCATTTATCTTAATTATTTAGTCTCACATGTTTACTGTTACAAAATGTGTCTTAAGATAAAATATATTGTGTTCAATGGGGGAAAAGAGTGTAAAAATCAAGCTAAGAGAGCGTAAAATCAGGGTAAATCTGCAGTCTCACCTTCATCTCGGTGTGATGTGTTCATGATGGATCCGTTCAGCAGCTCCTGCACCTCCGTTTTCAGCTCCTCGTTGTCTCGGACCAGACGGCTCAGCTTCTCCTGCAGGGGGAAGCAATGATTTACAGTGTGATTTATAGCATCTTAAAGTCTAATGGCCTTTATTTTAGCGATCTAAACACATGGTCTTAAAGCAAAAAGAGCAAGTGCACTTAGGAGTCTGAATAAGAACTAAAATTTCACAAAGACGAAACGCAATGAACGCGGTGGCTTTTGGAGGCGTGAGATGAGAGAGCAGACAGATGCTCAAGACAGTTCTGGAGGGAATAATAATAGAAGAATAATACTGAAGCACTGTGATGACGGACTGACGGAGAGCTGAGGCCTTTTACCATCAGCAGAACATTTCAGATCTGCAACACTGGAAAGCTCCAATCACACATTTATATTGTCACAAGATCACTTATAACAACATTACATGGCGATTTTAGTGCATATAAAGGAATCTGTTCACTAAATGAGGTTCAATCATAGTTTGAGCATTGTTTATTTAAAATATAAATTGTATCCTATTGAGTTGTGTACATAAAAAAATCAAATTATGTGCATCTTGGCATTTTCATCTAGCATTTTTTATGCGATAATCTAAAATTCATTAAAATAGATGGATGGACACATATGCTGTAAACAAATATAAGCAATAAGCAATAACAAAATAAGCAATTTTCCAAGTTTTATGATTCATGTTTTGTTTTTTTTCCTTTATTTCTGCTTCTGAATTGCATTATGGGAACTTGACCTTCCTTCCAAATTCTTTTAATCTTGAAAAGTGTGAAAAAGTGACGTTTCTCCACCTTTAGTCAGGGTTTCTGCAGATTTCATAATGTCAAATTTAAGACCTTTTTAAGACCATTAAGTATTAAATTTAAGACCTATATCACAATATCAAAAACACGCCAGAAAACACGCAAAATCACAAAATTTGTGATAAATAAAATGATTTAAATTGAACAGTAAAGACAGGTTAGATGCACAATTGAACTACAGAAAAAAACATCTTAAGGCTGATTTATACTTTCGTCTGGCGCCACATTGCGCACCTCACAAAACAGACGAAGCTTTTATACTTGACGGGTTCGCCGTTGTGATGTTCTTTAAAAGACAGGGGGCGATCAAAAGAAACCCACCGTAAAGTCAGATGGATAAACAGAGAAGTGGTAAGTTTCCAAAACTACATCATATCATTAACATTGTTTAAGATTTTAAAGCTAATCATTTTTATAATTTATTAAAATTATTATTATAAAGTTTTAGAACCATTCAAGATTTTTTAAAATCAAAATTTGATGCAGAACTCGCTTTTGTTCATATCTCGAACAGTTCTACCTATTGTAGCGAGTATACCGATGTCACATCGCCCTGGTCCAGAATTCACCACAGCTGGCACCAAATTAACCTGGATCAGTCACAGCTGGAGCTCATCAGAGGCAGCACATATAAGCAAACCCCGCACATAAAGAAGACGAGCTTCATTTCTCTACATGACTCCCTGCGCTAACACTTGTGTCTCTCTCTGTCTCTTTTACACAGCAGATTCCAGCAGCTGACCGATCCAACACCAGAACTCTCACTCAACCTCACCTTCTCCCCGGAGCACCAGAGCACCTACCCCTAGAAGAGCACCGTATCCATCTTGTTTCACTTGTAAACACTGTAAATAAATCACCCTCCGGGGACCTGTTTGTAACACAACACCTTTGTGTATGTGTTTTCCCTCTGCCTCGCTACACTATTAAAGTTAAATATCAATGACAGGAGAAAATGGGTTGCTCTACAATTATGTTTTTTAATATGGCAAGAATAAATGCAAAAAAACTTACTAAAAATACTGACTTTTTTCCCACACAGCAATTCACACATTACTGTGAGACTAGTTTCTAGTTATAGTTGGTATGGTCAGCAGTACTCGTTCAGTGTTTAAAAACAGACCTTAGTCAAAATGATTTCTAAGTTACTCAGTTTACAGCACGTTAATATCACTACACTATTGAAAGGTCCGCTGTAAATGCTGCTCTCTGTGTGTAAACACGAGAACACTAAGCAAACTTTTGCCGACCGTCGTGTTGAATTTTCGCCGCATTTTGTGACAGGATGGTTTACACACACACGGCTTTCTGATCTACCGAGTGCATCTGAGTTACAGAGAAATGCAGAGGCTTTTTTCTCTTATACGACGTGCGGTATCAAACATTTCACCATCATTAAACACACTGTCTTTCTCCCCTGCCTGTGTGTGTGTTTGTTTTTCCTCGGTCAGCAGCACGTGCACAAATAGCAACTCCCATTTTTATTCAAACCCTGCCCATTTTCCCTCCCCCGACACTCCCACCCAATCAGAGCTAGACACACCCACTTTCCAGACTTTTTCCAAACTAGAGGTGTGAAAACACCCTGCAGAAACGGGGGCTTTCATGGCCCTTTTAGACCTAGAACAGCGAACTTAATACTATTTAAGGCCTAAAATTTAGATTTTTAAATTTTAGACTTTCAGAATTTCTAAGGCCCCGCGGAAACCCTGTTTAATAGTGTGCAGTGCTATATTGTCTGGGTTGGTGTTGCATGTTACGCTGCAATCAGCTAGTAATAAACTGCGGCATACTTTCTTGTTACTTTACAGACTTATTTCTCTAGTTATTACTTGTTATGCATTATTTCAGACGACTAAAATGTCAATGGAAGTCAATTTGTTAAACTTTAGAGTAGACTTTTCTACTTCAAAAAGTTGACAGAGCAGAGATCAACATCCAATAATGCAATTCACCACCAGCGGTTCATTAACAGATATTTTCACAGTGTAGCTAGTGCAGTATGGGTTGGTGTACCTGCACCTCCTGCAGCTGCATGTGGCTCTGCTCCAGCTGCACTTTGCCCTGCACCTCGTCGTGCTGCAGCCGGTCCATCAGCTGCGTCTGCTGCAGGAACTGCTTCTGCAGATGCTCTCGCTCCGCCAGCAGCTGCTGATATCCAGCGCTGTACTGCTGCAGATGAGCCAGATACTGATCCCGCTGCTCCTGCACTGACGTCAGTTCAGACGAGCTCTCCAGCAGCTGACGGAATAAAACACATCAACATTTATAATCAGGGACAGACAGAATCTGCAGGCGTTTTGTGCCATTTCTGCACAATGGTTTATTGTGGGTTTGTTGTTTACATGAAGAAATCTGTGTTACAAATTAAACACAAATTCTATTAAACAATTATATTTTGAATTTAAATATTTTTTGTCTTGCGTTTACATTCATTTTACATTTAAATAGGCAAA